CATCCTTTTCTCCTACCCACAGCTCTTCCCCATTCCCTTGTTTTAGAATATTTTGTGCTGCCATAACATTGCCACAAACTGGGTAATTTATAAAGAAAATTGATTGGCTGGGCACGGTGGCTCACACCTGCAATCCCAGCATTTTGGGAGGCTGAGGCAGGCGGACCACCTGGGGTCAGGAGTTTGAGACCAGCCTGACCAACATGGAGAAACCCCATCTCTACTGAAAACACAAAATTAGCCAGCCGTGGTGGCACATGCCTGTAATCCCAGCTACTCCAGAGGCTGAGGCAGGAGAATCACTTGAACCTGGGAGGCGGAGGTTGCGGTGAGCCGAGATCGCGCCATTGCACTCCAGCCTGGGCAACAAGAGTAAAACTCCCTCTCAAAAAAGGATTAAATAAATAAATAAATAAATAAATAAATAAATAAATAAATGTATTTCTTACAGTTCTGGAGGCTGGCAAGTTCAATATCAAGGTGCTGGCATCTGACAAGGGCTTTCTTGCTGCATCATCATAAGGCAAAGGGAAAGAGGGTGAGAGAAGGTGAAAGAGAGCATAAGCAAGAGCATGCTCGCGTGTGTGTGTGTATGCGTGCGTGTGTGCGTGCCTGCACACACATCGGAAGAAAGAGCCAAACTCACTTTTATAACCAACCCACTCCTGCAATAGTGACATTAATCCCTTCATAAGGGCCCTGCCCCATAAAGGTCCTACCTCTCAACACTGTTGCATTGGGGATTAAGTTTCCAACACACAAACTCTGGAGCACACATTCAACCCTTAGCATTCCCTCACTAGAACAGGTACACCTCTGTTTATTCCTCTTATAAATCTTCACCTATTCTTGCCTAGCACCTATTGTGAGTAATTACTAATAAGTCTTCTACTAGGCTGTATGTTCCATGAGGGCAGAGATGGAATCTCTTTTTTCACCCCAGTATTTCCAGTGCTCTCTCAGTAATTTTTTGTTTGTTTTTGTTTTTGAGACCCAGTCTCGCTCTGTTGCCCAGGCTGGAGTGCAGTGGGGCAATCTCGGCTCACTGCAGCCTCCACCCCCCAGGTTCCAGCGATTCTCCCGCCTCAGCCTCCCAAGTAGCTGGAACTACCAGCACGTGCCACCACGCTCGGCTAATTTTTGTACTTTTTTTTAGTGGAGACGGGTTTTCACTGTATTAGCCAGGATGGTCTCTATCTCCTGACCTCGTGATCCACCCGCCTCGACCTCCTAAAGTGCTGGGATTACAGGTGTGAGCCACCGTGCCCAGCCACTCTCTCAGTAATTTTCTATAGACAGAGTTACTTAATGCCCTCCTTAAAAATACAGGCTCAGGGCCGGGCGCAGTGGCTCACGCCTGTAATCCCAGCACTTTGGGAGGCCGAGACGGGCGGATCACGAGGTCAGGAGATGGAGACCATCCTGGCTAACACGGTGAAACCTCGTCTCTACTAAAAATACAAAAAAAAATTAGCCGGGCGTGGTGGCGGGCACCTGTGGTCCCAGCTACAGGGGAGGCTGAGGCAGGAGAATGGCGTGAACCCGGGAGGCGGAGCTTGCAGTGAGCCGAGATCGCGCCACTCCGCTCCAGCCTGGGCGACAGAGCGAGACTTCGTCTAAAAAAAAAACAGGCTTGGGTCGGGGCAGAAGTGTAGTTACTGATAGTGGGAAAAAAGAAATCTTGCCATAGAGACAGATCTTCATGAACCCTCCCCTGGCCTTTTACATTTTCATAACTACTTATCATTATTATTGTCATTGTTATTATTTTTAGAAATGGGGTGTTCCTCTGTCTCCCAGGCGAGAGTGCAGTAGCGCGATCATAGTTCACTGTAACCTCGAACTCCTGGGCTCAAGTGATCCTCCCACCTCAGTCTCCCAAGTATCTGAGACTACAAGTGCACACCACCTCCCCCAGCTCCATAACTACTTAGTAGCAAAACATCTTGCCACAGAAAAATTGGAGGGTTATTCGCATTATAAAATAATTACATTTCAGAAGGATCACAGTGTCTCCTTAAGTAAAATCCGAGCAATTTAAAAAAAAAAAAAATCACTAAATACGCTGCCAAAGAATAAACCAAAAGTTGAAGTATTCACAGAGATGGGATTCATGACTTGCTACCCCAAAATATGGCACCTTGGCATATTAAATATTTTAAGCTGAAGGAATTTGAGAAACAGCACGTGCGGGAAAGGCTCCCTGGCCTTCCCCTGAAGCAGATTATAAGACTCTGACATGAGAGCTGCCCTCCCTCCTCCTGGAGGACAGGAGCATCCTATCTTAAAGATGAAGGGACACAGAAAGGAATCTAACACACAGGCCTTGCTAAATTTCCCCTAGTTTGCTGGACTTCGCTCACATTCTTCCATGACTCTCTTCATCAAACCTAGCATAAAAACACTTGGTTTTAACTGCTTCTTTGGATCTTAATTTCCTTATGAAGGCTCCCATTTCTTGTAAAACGTACATGAAATAAAGTGCATATTTTTCTCTTGCTAATCTATCTTTTTTTTACAGGGGTCCACCGTAGAATCTAGAAGGGCAGATGGAAAAGATATTTTTCCTCCCTTATACTAGCCACTGCTGAGTTGGTATCAAACTGCAATTTAGATAAAATTTGAATTTACAATGATTTAAGAGCAGACATTTCCATATCATACATTTAATTTGCCTGTTACTGGCCATGAAGCAAAAATATGGGATTTCCCCATTTGATGCCAGGGTCTTGGCAACCCTGTCCCCTAAATGAATGAATGGAATGGTGGTAATGTCCTGGATTTGAAACTCAAGTTTTCTCAACTTACCCAAACTCACAAGAACCAGATGTACAATTTAGTGTGTCAATTAATTACCTTACACTAAGAAATACAAACTACTCGTTTTTTGCCGTGAAGTCAACCAGAATGTCACTCCAAAATGTGCCACTTTGGCATAAGGATTATTTTAATATTATTAATTTAATTATAGTAGTATTATCTTGGTAATTGAAAAGCAGATCCAGACAGTCCCCAACTTAACGATGGTTTGACAAGATTTTTTGACTTTATGATGGTGTGAAAACAACATGCATTCAGTAGAAACCATACTTCAATTACCCATACAGCCATTCTGTTTTTAACTTTCAGTACCGTATTCAATAAATTGCATGAGATATACAACATTTTATTATAAAACGGGCTTTGTGTTAGGTGCTTTTGCCCAACTGTAGGCTAATGTAAATATTCTGAGCATGTTTGCAGTAGCCTACTGATGTTTGATAGGTTCCGTGTATTAAACACATTTTCAACTAATAATATTTTCTTTTTTATTTTTTTCGTTTTGAGACGCATTCTCGCTCTGTCGCCAGGCCGGAGTGTAGTGGCGTGATCTCGGCTCACTGCAACCTCCGCCTCCTGGGTTGAAGTGGTTCTCCTGTCTCAGCCTCCAGAGTGGCTGGGACCACAGACGCGTGCCACCACGCCCAGCTCATTTTTGTATTTTTAGTAGGGATGGGGTTTCACCATGTTGGCCAGGATGGTCTCCATTTCTTGGCCTCGTGATCTGCCCGCCTTGGCCTCCCAAACTGTTGGGATTACAGGCGTGAGCCACCGCGCTGGGCCTCAACTAATGACATTTTCAATTTACAATGGGTTTATTGGGATGTAACGCCATCATAAGGAGAATAAGCAGAGGAGCATCTGTACAAAACAAGCTCCCTACCCTTCCACTAGTGCCTAAAAGCAGGACATTTTCAAAAGTGTCCCACCTCATCTCTCTCTACCAGGGACAAAAGTTAATCACCAGAGACAACTTTAGACCCTTATCAGCCAGAGATGGCACTAGAAGAACCTATGTAACACACTTCACTCACTACCTGTAACTATCATTAGTTTCTCATATTTCTACCTTCCCACTCTGCTGCTTTTGGAAACCTCAAACTGCTTTCGTCATTTCTCCACAAAGTTGTTGTTCTTCATTGTAAATGCTACGTAATCCCCCATTCTAAGCCACCTCTTCCAGTTACTCTTCCTTGAGTTTTGCCCATATAAGATGTACATGTTACTAAATTTTTCTCTTGCCAATCCGTGCTTTGTGATAAGGGCTCCAGTGGAGAACCTAGAAAGGTAGAAGGATCTCTCAAGGAGGACTTGAGACGTGGGTTCCGTTCTTTTCCTTCAGCTCCTCAATTGTAGATTGCATTCAGGTCATTCCCCTCCCGTTACCATGCTCTTTTTTCATTGAGTAGATATATCTGATGGGCCTGGGGTTTTCTCAGGTACATTCCAGGTCCAGGGGAAACACAGTTTCTTTTTTTTTTTTTTAATAGGACAGCCTCCTGAACTAGAAGAGGTTCAGAGCGACTCCCACAGTTTCACTCTTGAACTTGGGTATTTTCCCAAAAAGCTGCTATAGTCGGTCTTCGTTGCTTCCTTCTCCAGGGTATCCCGGCGGCGCGCAGTGCAGGCGCCTCGCCCCGCTCCCTGACGGCGGCTGCCAGCTTCCAGACAGAGGCCGACCCGGTGTTCGCAGCCAAGGCGCAGGCCGGGCCCGGCGCGTTTAGAGCCCCCGCCCCTCGGTAAGGAACCGTCCCTGCGCGACTGCAGAGGGAGCGCGGGGTCCCCTGAGGTTCCCCTTCTCTAAATGTGCACCTTCCTCAGGGAGACCTTGTGCAGCTGAGGGAAAGTCACCACTCAGGGTTTCGGGCGGGGGGCCCAGATAAAAGAGCTGCCATCAGCAAAAAAAGAAAAAAGCACAAAGAGGAGGCAGGCGGATTTCCAAGGCGATTTCGCCCACTAATTTTGCCCAGAGATGACTCTGAGGTCTCTGAGCTTATGCTTTTCAGCGGTTGTGCAAAGACTCGCTTTGCGCTCTTACAAGCCCACTACGGGAGCTCCCGCTACACGCCGGCACATGGGGACAAACGACAACGCGCCGCCCTTGGAACACAACGCCGGGCCCGCGCTGCGCAGCCTCCAGCGGCGCTGCGTGCCCTTCCTTTTGCCCGTCTCCAAGATGGCGGCGCCGCCGCCGCCGCCCCGGCCCGCCCCTCCTCCTCGCCCCGCAGAGCCGCGCCGCGCCGCGCGCTCCCGCCGCCCCTCCCCGCGCGAGCTCCACCCAGGTCGCAGGCAGCGCGGTCGGCGGCGGCTGTTTCCCGCCATTGTGCGAAGTGAAGGCTAGGGGCCCGTACGCGCCCGCCTGCCCGTCGCCAGCAGCTCCTCGGCGGCCCCACCGCAGGCAGCGCGGTCGGCGGCGGCTGTTTCCCGCCATTGTGCGAAGTGAAGGGTAGGGGCCCGTACGCGCCCGCCTGCCCGTCGCCAGCAGCTCCTCGGCGGCCCCACCGCAGCCACCGCTCCCTGAGGCGCGGGAGGCCCGCGCCCCGCCGCTCGCTGTGCGTGGGAGGGCGCGAGCGAGGAGCGGCCGAGCCGCCGAAGAGGAGCTGGGCGCCGGCCGCCCGGCCGCGCTCTGCCCGCGGATCGCCTCCGCCCGGTCCACGCCGGCCCCGGCCCCGGCCCCTGGCGAGATGCCGTGTGGGGAGGATTGGCTCAGCCACCCGCTGGGAATCGTGCAGGGCTTCTTCGGTGAGTGGCGGCGCCGGGGGGCGGGCCGGGCGGGCAGCCGAGTTTGCCGAGACCCGGGGCCGGGCCCCGCCGCGCGGCCCCCACGCGGTACCACCTCGAGGGTTCTCGCGGCCCGAGACGGCGCCCTGGGGCCTGCACCGGCCTCAGCTGGGACAGCCTCTTCCCCGGTCGCAGCAGGTAGGGGTAGGAGTCGGGCCGCAGGTACCTCCCACCTGCCCGAGTCGCAGCTCGCGAGCCGCCAAGGTGAAGTCGTGGGGCGCAGGCTGTGATTGACGGTCTCGCTCCCAGCCTGTGGCAGGGTCAGGGCCCCGGGCGCAACAAACTCGGGGAGGTCCTCGAACCCTGGGGAGGGCCCGCAGAGCCGCGGGCAGGGAAACCACTTTGCCTGTGGGAAGCCCGCAGGATATTTCAAAACTTCCGGTGCGTCGGGGAGTGCTCACTTGCACAGAAGTTGGTTCTAACTCCTATGTTACCCTCATTCTCTCTCTCAGAGATAAGATTTAATGTTCATAGCTTAATTTTCCTGTTGGGATGACTTTAGAATCCATCTAGTCTGGATCTGCTCCTGTGCCAGAGCCAGCAAGAAATACTGAGCTACTTGAGTTTGTACGTGGGGCTGAGAACGCTGCAGGCGAGCTTAATAAATTTTGGTTGCGATTGCTGTTGCTACTTTACTGCGAAGAGTATACAAAGAAAAATTTATATTTGTTATCGGTAACTGGGCATTTTGACAACCGTTCCATTCCCCAGTGTCTTTTTGCACGTAATGAGTGGTGGAGTCAGACCCAACTAGAAATCACTGTAGATAGCAACACCTGACTTGTCTGGAGTTAACTTAGAGTTGTAGAGCGGCCTTAGCTTATTGAAAAAACATCTTGGGGTACTAGGGAGAAAAGGCAATAGGAAGCTAAATCATCCTCAGCAGCCAAAACCGATGGCAAACAATGTATGGTATTTCTTATAGGAGGGCCTCTTGTGCTCAGAAAGTCCTTATTAATTTACCTATAATTTTAATTAGTTTAGTTATCTGGCTTCCTAGGCTGAAACTAAAGGCATTACGTTAGAAGAAAGCCTGGATAGACGTCCGGACTTAGCCAGTGAACACTGACAGCCTGATGAAGAAATTTAAAACTACCTTCATACTTCAAAAAACAAACAAAAAAAGGCGAATTCACTATATAACAGTCAAGGGTGCTTTGAGGAAGGGGCATGTATTTCTCCACTAAATCCTAGTAATTTATCTTCATAATAATCCTAGAACTGATAATCGATGCTCAACATAATGGCCCCAAGATGTTAAGTGAAGATTCAATTGTAGCATTCGTTTAAGAGGGTGCAGATGCATAGATACTTTTTAGGAAAAATCCTTCCAAAGTAAAAAGGTTCGGTGCTTAAAGGGTTAAATTTCAGTTACTAATATTAGAAAGTTTGTTTATGAGAAATACCCTATACTCTGATTTTGCTGGATAAATGAGATGATTTCATATTTGATAGAGATTTGAATGTATTTGTGTCAAGTTTTGTCTCCTAAGTGTATGATCCTAAGGGACACATCTCATCATAGTACAGGAAGGATATAACTTAGATATAAAATAATAGCTTTAGAGTATTTTATAAATTCTATGGATTGTTGTGGGAACTTGAAGTTTGTTGATATGCTTCTCCCCAGAATGTCTTGTTCCCATGTATGTTGTGTCTTACAGAAAAATCATAATGTGTTTGTAGAAGCTATCACTGTGATTATATTGCATATCTTTATCATAACAGCATTACAAGTATGTTTGTGTGATAATGTACAGGCACTTTTTGGTTTGATAGGAAATTGTTTTCCACCCAAATAGGTAATGCATATGTATTGTACAAAAAGAAAAAAAACAGTTCAGTAACATATAGCAGAAAAGGAAAGATCTTTAAAGATCCTTCATCTTCAAGATAACCACTGGTTCGTGGTTGTGTAGTTTATTTTCTCTGCATATATTTAGACAGTTTTTTTAAACTGAAAAGTTAAGTTTGGTTGTGTGTTTTATTTTGAAATATGCATTTCTTTTTCTTTTTTTTTTTTTTCTTTTTTTTTGAGACAGTCTCGCACTGTTTCCCAGGCTGGAGTGCAGTAGCACGATCTTGGCTCACTGCAGCCTCCACCTCCCGGGTTCAAGCGTTTCTCCTGCCTCAGCCTCCCGAGTAGCTGGGACTATAGGCACGCGCCACCACGCCCGGCTCATTTTTGTATTTTTAGTAGAGACAGGGTTTCACAATGTTGGCCAGGATGGTCTCGATCTCTTGACCTCGTGATCCGCCTGCACTTCTCAAAATGCTAGGGTTACAGGCGTGAGCCGCTGTGCCCGGCAGCCTTTTTTCCCTTTCTCATTGTCCTTGTCATATAGTGTTGTATAAACTTACTAACCCTGTCATATGTTTTAAGTTAGATGTCACAGTAATCTAGAGTGTGCTGTCCAGGGCAGTAGCCATGTGTGGCTATTTAAACGTAAATTAATTAATAATTATACAAAATTGAAAATTCAGCTCCTGGGTGTTACCTCATTTCAAGTGCTCAGCAGCTACATGTGGATAGGGGGTATTGTATTAGCACAGATTTAGAAATTCCTAACATCAGGAAGTTCTGTGTACGGTGCTCATCCAGAGTACACCACTTTTTAGCACGTGATGCTAGTTATTTTGGATAACCAGCTAATCACTCTCTTTCAGGATCTGAATTTGGTCACTGTGTCTTATCTATTCTAGGGGTGTGGGGTGTGTGTTGTGTGGTGTGTGTGTGTGTGTGGTGAGGAGTTTCGTTCTTGTCATCCAGGCTGGAGTGCAACATGTGATCTCGCTCACTGCAACCTCCGCCTCCCAGGTCAAGCATTCTGCCTCAGCCCTCCGGAGTAGCTGGGATTACAAGCGCCTGCCACCATGCCCAGCAATTTTTTTTTTTTTTTTTCTTTCTTTTTTTGAGACTGAGTCTCGCTCTGTGCCCCAGGCTAGGTGCAGTGTTACAATCTGGCTCACTGCAAGCCTTTTGCCTCCGGGTTCAAGCGATCTCCTGCTCCAGCTCCCCGAGTAGCTGGGATTGCAGGTGCATGCCCCCATGCCCAGCTAATTTTTGTATTTTTAGTAAAGATGGTTACACCATGTTGACCAGGCTGTCTTGAACTCCTGACCTAGTGATCCGGCCACCTCAGCCCTCCCAAAAGTGCTGGATTACAGGCGTGAGCCACCGTGCCCGGCCAGACCTCATCTCCCAATGCTACTGTCATAATTAAGGCCATTGTAGCTCCTCTCCTGGAATGCTGGAAGCCCTCTAACGTTGTTCTGCCTCCAGTCTGCTTCTCTTCCACCTTCCACACTGGAACCAAGTCCTTCAGTGGACTTCCTTGTTACCCTTACGTGTGATCCAGGCCTTTAAAGTGGTTTATGGCCGGCGTGATGGCTCACGCCTGTAATCCCAGCACTTTGGAGCCGAGGCGGGCGGATCACAAGGGTCAGGAGATCGAGACCATGGTGAAACCCCGTTTCTAACTAAAAATAGAAAAATTAGCCCGGCGCAGTGGCGGGCACCTGTAGTCCCAGCTGCTCACGGGAGGCTGAGGCAGGAGAAGGCGTGAACCCGGGAGACGGAGCTTGCAGTGAGCCGAGATTGTGCCACTGCACTCCAGCCTGGCGACAGAGCGAGACTCCGTCTCAAAAAAATAAATAAATAAATAAAGTGGTTAGAGCCCTTGTTGTCCCCACCCTTGCCTTGCTCTCAGACTTTATCACTGCGTGCCCCTCCTCATACCTCCATCCCAGCTGCCACTGAACCTCCTTTCAGTTCTTGATTTTGAACCTGTGTCTGGCCTTTTAGATCTGCTATTTTTTGTCCTGATTCCCCCTCCGATCCCATGTCCACTTTCTGGCTAAGTCTTTTTTTTTTTTTTTTTTAATTTGGAGACGGAGTCTTGCTCTGTTGCCCAGGCTGGAGTGCAGTGCCCGATCTCAGCTCACTGCAAGCTCCGCTCCCGGTTTACGCCATTCCTCCTCGCCTCAGCCCTCCCGAGTAAGCGGGACTACCAGGTGCCCGCCACCTCGCCGGCTTAGTTTTTTTGTGCTTTTATAGAGACGGTTTCACCGTATTAAGCCAGGATAGTCCGATCTCCTGACCTCTGTGAATCCCCCGTCTCGCCCTCCCAAAGCTGTGGATTACAGGCTTGAGCCACCGTGCCCGGCCGCTCTGGCTAAGTCTTACTTTCCTTGTGGAAACCTAATGTGATGGTACCAAAGTAGGGTACCCCTTGCTCCACTACGCAGGATCCTATATATACATGTCTTTGAAAAATAGTGTGTAAGTGCATTGTTGAAATTCCTTATTTCAGAAGTTCCCTTTGCTGGATTTTGACCCTGCGAATTCGGGCCTGTATCTGCATTACTCACCACTGTATTCTAATTTCCTAGAATATGCCTTGTACGATGAGAGTGCTCAGTGGACACTTGTTGAACAAAAAGCAGTGGAAAGACTGATTAATCAGAAATGTTGTTAATTGAAATGGCTAGTGAGATCATGAATCTCAAAATTTTTCTTTTCTTTTTTTTTTTTGGAGTCAGAGTCTTGCTCTGTTTCCCAGGCTGGAGTGTAGTGGCGCGATCTTGGCTCACTGCAACCTCCGCCTCCTGAGTTCAAGCCATTCTCATGCCTCAGCCTCTCGAGTAGCTGGGATTACAAGTGTGCACCACCATGCCCGGCTAATTTTTGTATTTTTAGTAGAAGACAGGATTTTGCCATGTTGGCCAGGCTGGTCTCCAACTCCTGGCCTCAAGTGATCCATCCCTCCCCTGCCCCCTTGGCCTCCCAAAGTGCTGTGATAACAGGTGTCAGCCACTGTGCCCAGCCTCTTTAGCTGTTTTGCCTTCAATTATTGGTTAGACCAAGATCATTATTCTGATTATATTTAAGGTTCTTTGGTTGTATCTAACAGAACTAGACTAGCTCAGGCAAAAAAGAGCAGTGTTGGGTGGAGGGGGAC